AGACCCTAACCGCACAAAGGCCGTGACACCCAAACAAGGATTCTCTGTCTTAGGTCTTAGGTCTGCAGAAGTTATATGGTTAGGATATTGCTTTGCGATGTGGAAAGATCAGACTAATGCATTTCCATCAGCCGTAAAAAGAAGAATAGTAAAAATAGTGGAGTAGCTGTTTATTTTCTATCCGCCTGTCTTAACGGCGTGCCGATGCAGGCCATGCTGCACGCCTTCGTGGGGTCAGACTGGCGCCTCACTGGGATGCTGGTTATGTTGTGGATTGTAATCCTCCATTATACGATAGCGCACCGGTAGTGCGCGGTCGCAGACTGCTGCATCGAATGTGCCACTGCTTCGCTCTGTGGGATGTGATGTCCGCTGAGGAAAGGGTCGGCGCGTTTACGCGGCTGCGACTGGCCCTGAAGTGGCGAGATCTGGTAGACCTAATGCACGTGTTTGTTTTGGGAGGCGTGCCCAGGGACGCGAAGGGCGCAGGGCGTATTGCAAGGAAGATTTTTTGGTTATTCGAATGTGTTTATAGCAGAGATGTTCCCTGGCTTGTTAGAGAGCTTAGAGTATGGCGTAGTAAGATGGATGGTGGAGTGTTCTGAAGTGTTTCTGGAGAGCTATATCACAGGATGCTTTGCTCAGAGTGATCACCTACTGTTGATAGCCTGAGCCGCGAGACCCAAGCTCGCAACACCTGCGAGTAGAAGGAAGAATCCTTCACCCTGCTTTCAGCCCTTTCAGCATACTGCTTGGAGGCTCAAGGGGGCTTAGTAAGGAGGGGTAGAAGTAAGGTACATGTAGTCATGCCCGAAACACTAAGCTCCTAAACCCTAAATGCTGCATCCTAAGTTATATATCTACTTTTAACCCCAATTAAAGTAAGTATAACCCCACGTACTAAGGCCCCTCATCCTCCAAGTACGGAGCCCAAAAGGCTACCATTCCCAGCCGAGCCCCTGAATTAGTTTGGTTTAGGGTTTATAAGGGTTTAGGGTTTAGTTTAGGGTTTAGGGTTTAGGGTCTCAGCCTGACTAGCCCCTGCAACCTAATCTGAGCCCAAAAGCCCCAGGCTGCAGTTCCCCCGTAACCTGAGCCCAGCAAGCCCCGTGCTGCAGTTTAACCCTACACCCTCTCTCTCTCTCTCTCTCTCTCTCTCTCTCGCACAGGTGCTCGAAGCGTCAAACCTAAACCCTGATCCCTTAAACCCTAAACCCCTAAACCCTACGGTTGGGGCTTTCAGCTTAACGGGTTTAGGTCTCAGGATCTATAGGGATTTAATCCAGAGGCGTCGCCGTATTGCTCATCGCTACGGGTTTACCGCTCATTGGGTTTAGAGCTTATGACAGGATGTGTATATACTAGTGGGTTTATACAGGGGTTTTCATGCGCGTTTAGGGTTTCAGGCTCATAGGGCCTAGCGGCCTAGCGTGTTCGGAAGCCTGTAACTTTCCCTCGGGATCGTGCCAGGAAGCCCTCGGCGTGCAGGAGAAGGTACACAGCCGAGGATTCCACGCGCGCGGCGACACGCAGGACGAAAAGGATGGTTCCCACCGTTTGACTCATGGCCTCTGAGGCTTTGGCTTCAGGGTTTAAGGTTTGAGGCGTAAGACCCTTGTGAAACCCTTGTTTAGAAGGAAACACAAACAACCATGCATACAACACTTACAGGGTTCTATAGAACCGTCCGAGAAAGCTCATGCAGCTGTCTTGTACCCTGAAGCACAGCCCTCCAATACAAAACCTATACCCCCAAAACATACCCCATCAGATAGTCAGTTTGCGTAAGCCCTATAGCAGCAGCAGCCCTATACAACTCACAGAAATCGCTGCACAACCCGTGAAACGGCCCATAGATCCCTCAAAAACCTATGTAAAAGCAAAGAAAACACCAAACTTTGATGACAATCCTTGGACCTCAAAGGCCTGAAAACCCTAAACCCGAGCACGTCAAAGGAACTGAAAGGAACCGTTTTCAAAAATCTGCCCGGGCGCTGAGTTCGCCAGTACCAGGGCGAGCTCCAGGAGCTTTGCTAAGTATGCCAGAAGGCAGCTGGGTGCACAAGACAGCTCCTCGCTGGATTTAGTTGGTTCCTTTCGTAATGGGGGTTAATATAGGAACCTGATTCAGAAACCCTGGGTCTTTATTAGGGTTTTTAATATGAAGCCTAATATATTTGGGATGGTACGGCCAAGGTTTCTTAATCAGACTCCTACATTGCGAGCTTAAGGCTCTTAGGGGCTTGGTTTCGAGCTTCGGAGGTTTTGAAGTTTCAGGTTCAAGGTTGATAAGCCAAGGAACAATGTGAGATCCGTGACTGCTTATAAAACCAGAGCGCAGACACGAAACAAGGTAGACGAGTACATTGTAGGCCCCCCGACTCATAATTGGCCTCCCAACTTTAATAAGCAAGGATCGCAAATTACCCTAGCGATCCGAATATCAAAGCCCTATCAGGCGTTCCCACTGAAGTGCTGAAGAAGTGAACCTCTATCCTCACGCGAGTCAGAAACCGAGACGGCCTTGCACCATAAGACCCTAACTCTAAGCCCGTGATGAACTTCAAAACCTAAAACTCTAAAGCCATACCCATAGGCTCCTTAGTAGTTCCTTTTTTGGGATTACCTTATAGGATTCTAAACATGAACCATAAAAAGGAACTACTTAGGAGCCTATGGGTAAAGACACCAAATCTTAGGGGCCGAGTACCTTAGCCCAAAAAAGGTTAACCTTTTGAATATAATAGGTTTATATAAGCCCCAAAAGGCTAAAGGTTACTCAGCCCCTAAGAAGTTCGTTGAGGAGCAGTGAGGAGTTGGCCATAAGGCGAGGCCACCAGCTCTTGCTCCATCGATGAGTTGGCCGGAACATTCTCCTGCAACGGTGCAGTGCAGAGGTCTAGGGAATTACAAAAAAAGCCTCACCTTGTGAAGAGTTCCTACTGGACAGTTGATTGTAGAGTTCTACATATCTGAAGCTAATATCCCCTCATAGTGCATCTATTGATGCAAACGTAAAGTATTATAACATGAAGCCCTGTTCTAAGTAAGTATCACAAATTAAGGCTTCTATATACACCCCTATAGAAACCCTTGCAAAAACCTTACACATGCTACTCAGCTACTCTATTTCCTAAGGCCTCTGTGCTAAGACCCCCTAATCATACCCTAAACCCTAAACCCTAAGACCCCCAAATCATACCCTAAACCCTAAACCCTATAAACCCTAGACCCTAAACCCTAAACCCCAAAGGCAGCAAGCGCTCCGGTGCATCAGACCAGTGCGTCGGCTCCAGCAGCTTCCCCGGCTCCAAAACCACCGCCTGCCACTTTGGATGTAGGATTTCAGTGTTTCCACGGGGGTTTTCTAAACGGTTTAGGGTTTAGGGTCGAAGGTGTAGGGTTTAGGGTTTTCGAACGTTTTCGGGCTTTGAAGCTTCGCTTTTTTTGTTAAAGGGGCTTTTTCGGTTCCAACATTCTCTGGTTTTAGCCTTGAAGGCTTTAGGCTGTCATGGGGAGAGCTGCGGCACAGCCTCCCGAACCCTGCAGCTCGCAGTCCAAGATAGTGATATAGGAATTGGTATTTAGGTTTTGGGATTTAAGCTTTAGGGTTTAGGGTTTAGTGCTATAGGATTTGGTTTTTAGGTTTTGGGATTCAAGCTTTAGGGTTTAGGGTTGTAGGATTTGGTATTTAGGTTTGCGGATTTAAGCTTTATACCGGGTTGCAGCATTCAAGCGACTTGTCTCGTTTCGGAAGCAAGGACGTTCCTATGAGCAACGCCACATTTGACATGTCGGTTCGACAGTTGAGGCAGGTTTAGGGTTTAGAGTTTAGGGTCTCGGGTTTAGGGTTAGAAATGAAGAAAGGGCCTTGAGCTAATGCCGTCGTCCGCGTCGCCATGCGCAAAATTCAAGCCGCCGGTAGAAGTGACGCAGCAGCCAGCACCACGAAAATCCACTGCATCCGAGAAAAACTAAACCAGCACTACAAAAACCCTGCAAACGAAGACGTCGGCATGCGCAACGTCTAAATCTATTGAACGCCACGAAACACACAGAATGAACAAGAACCGAAGTCTCCGGAGTTCCCAATCATGCCTAGGATTCTTGTTTCTTGCGAAACATTCAGAACGCCTCAGAACCTTTAGGGTTTAATGAGGGATTGAGGGCATTAGATCCTTGTAAGGTTTAGGGCTTCGGGCTGCAAGTGCTTGGTCTTGGAGCAGGAAGTGTCCGAAGGCTCTAATCCACACTCGCAAAGCACACTTTTCGCATTGGCCAACTCCAAGTCTTTCAAAATAAGGCAATCTACTCTAAAGGCATCTACACCCTGCCAAAAAGTCTAATAAGCCCTAAGCTATGAAAACCTACCCCCCCCAACCCTAAACCCCAATCCGACATGAAGCGTCAACTTGCAAGCCTCAACTAAACCTTAAATCCTATAAACCCTAAGCCCGAAGCTCCACACCCCAAACCCCAAACCCTTTTTAGCAACAGGCCTCGTTCTCCAGCAGCCGAGCCCTAAACCCTAAACCCTCCACACGCCAAATCCCAAACTGAGAAAGCCTCCCTAAACCCTAACCCCTAAATTCTAAGCCCTAAGCCCTACAGCACCCTTTAAAGGAAGCCTAGGACCGCTATAGATCCCTTTAAAGGAAGCCTAGGATCCCTATAGATCCCTTTAAAGGAAGCCTAGGATCCCTATAGATCCCTTTAAAGGAAGCCTAGGATCCCTATAGATCCCTTTAAAGGCCCCCTAAAAGCCTCGAGGATCTCCTGCAAGCCCCGGTCGAAGAGGGAGTTCACGCGATCCCCGGTGGTGAAGAAGGCCATGACCAGGGGCATCCTCCGGGCGTAGGGTTTAGGAGTTGGGGTTTTAGGGTTTGGGGTTTCAAAGTTTAGGGTTTGGGGGTATAGGGCTTCAGGGTTTGAGGGTTTCAGGGTTTAGGGAATGAACTGCGCGAGGACAACCGGCCCCCGTCCATGCCAAGCTTCGGCACCGTCTTGCTGCCCTTGTTGGAGAGTGTCTCCTCGTCGTAGAGGAAGACAACTTGGGGCGAAGGGAAGAAATCGGCTGGGTCCTGAGGCGGCAGGGACACTGATGCAGCTGGTGGCAACCTGGGTTCTTGCTAAGGGATTTGATTTAAGTTACCATAAAGGGAATCTATGGTAAATAACATAGTTTCCTTATTATGGTAACTTAAATTAAATCCCCTAACAAGAACCCAGTAACGGCTGATGCGAGCATCTCGTCATCTTGCAATCATTGGAGGTCTATGCAGCAGACGGGTCACGACGGGTCTTGGTATGCTGGTTGCTGCGGTGCTGCGCTGCGCTATTGGTGTGCTGTGGCGCTTACCTAGGAGAGGCCGATGCCCGGTGTTGTAGGTCCGGAAGCCAAGCCGAAACACTACTTGCGACTGCTGGCTAGCAAGGTCATGTGCATGGCGTCCTTCACCACCACTTTGTGCACGACATACTTGTCGGCATCATGCTCCAGCACATGTCCCAGCTCGAAGGTCACAGCAACTTTCATGATGCCATCACGGCGCACCTGTCAGCTTTGCATGTAGTCTTAGTCCGGGGTCGTCGCTTGCGGTAGCAATTGGAACAACACAAGTGTTCCTGCTTGCGTCTAACCTTGTGTGCTTCGACCACGTGACTTGCCGCAATGGTGGCGGTGGTCCGGGGGGTGGCGGTGTTGCGGTCTTGGAAATACATAGTCTACAAGTAGGAAGATCAACGGTGCTATCTGGTATGATGGTATGTGCAGACGACTGGGCTGCAATTGCAAATTCAGGAGCTACAGGCTGCATAGTTACATTAGGCTGTCAGTGTTGAGGGCATCCCGCTCTACACAGTACTGGCTGTAAACCTGGCGAAAAGCCTAAACCCAGGGGTTGGTGTGCAGCTTCGAGTTAATTATCATGTTCCTGCCAGCTGCCTCCCCCAACCACGAAGCCCGGACCGGCAAGATCTGCGCTCTGAAAGGACTTTACTATTTCCGATATTTCCGCGCCTCAAGGATTTGACCAGGCTTCATCAGGGGACAGCGGCCCTTGTCAATCGGCCGTACCAGCACCTTCTGTCCAGCTCGGCTTTGACAGACTTGGGGCTGAGCCTTTGAGGATTGGAGATTAGGGGCATGCAGACTCTCAAGCATCCGCCCTGCCCGGCTTTTGAGAGATCTCATCTATAGGGAATACAACAGCCTGTTCCGAAGGTTCGTGATCCCCGAATTGCGAAAACATGCTAAAAGCCCAAAAATCGAAAAAATCACAACCCTAAAACCCTAAACCCCAAACCCTCAGCCAAACTAGGGCATCAACACTTTAAGCCCTAAAACCTAGGCACAAACGTAGTAAACTCTAAACCCTAAGAGCCCGATAGTCCTGAAGTATAAACCCTATATCCCTATACACACTATACCTAAACCCTAAACCCTATAGTCCTGAAGCATAGACCTTTTCGTCCTAAACCCTAAGAACCAGCTGGTCCTCAAGTGTAAACCCTATAGTCCTAACCCTAAGAGCCCAAGTAGCCCACAACCCTAGCCACTGAGCCCTAAACCCAAAGCCCTAAACCCTTTCAACCTGAACCCTAGACCCTAAACCCACGAGCACCTGTAACTCAAGGTCTCCCTCCTCCGGCCACAGGTCTTTCAAGACCTCAGGGCATCTTAGGTCTCTCTGTCTCTCTCTCTTTTGTTTTTTTTGGCTAAGGGGTTTACTGAGGGTTTAGGGGTTTAGGCGTTTAGGGGTTTAGGCTAAGTTGGTTAAGCCCTCTTCAGTGTTTTGTTGTTGTATTAGGGGTTCGGAGCTTTCGGGTTCAGTTTGGGTTTCAGGCTTCAAGGCAGTAAAGAGACAAGCCAAGTAATTACTTGCACATGCTCTCTTGCTACATTCGCAGTTCCCTAAATTGCGAGCTCGCAGTTGGGTTCTGCTTGCGCCGTTGCCTCATTTTTTCATGTCTGGGCTCGAAACGCTCGCTGCAGCTATAATAACCAGCAACAGTAAGTTCATAAATACCGGGCTCGTCCGTAGAACCCCAATAGGACTATTCTTCGCACGATAAGTTGATCGATATACATTACTACTCTTGTTCTTGCACGGAGTCCCTAAGTACTGTTGAGGATATAAATCCTGCATTACCTTAGGGACCCTAAACTATGGGAATCATGGTATATTCCTTATTTATGGGTAATGCAGGGTTTATATCATCAACCGTAACCCTAAACCCTAAACCCTAAACCCTAAACCCTAAACACCTCATCCTCGAGCTTCCTCCCAAAGATGGCGAAAGAGAGGCGGTAAGCAGACACCTGGAGTGGCTCACTCAGCTTGTTCGCCAGGTCCTGGCGTTGAAATGATGGAAAACAACAAAGCAGACGGTTCATTCAGATTGGACAATCTTCTCCTTCCTCATTCCCTGATACTAGTAGACTATGAACAGCAGTACCCGCCAGATGATGGCAATGATGACGCTATTCATGAAGTTGCTGACCCAGGTTCGACCCTGAAACCCGCAAACGCTGAACTCCTAAAACCATAAACCACCCCAAACCCCCGACCTAATTAGACCGGTAAGGCATCCCTTTACAACCCTACACCCGAAACCCCGATTGCGGCTGCGGGAGCACGCCCAAATCCCTGAAAGCAAGGCTCCACTGCTCTCAGCTCCAGGGACTCTTCCCTCGCCAACTCCTGGGTTCTTGCTACGGGGCTGTAGGCTTTAGCTTGAGCTGCACATGTTAATTAAAAGCATCAAAATAGTTAAGGAAAGCAACATATGTATCGGAACATGAACTTCCATGGCCGCCGATGTGTAATGAGTTCCTAAGAAAAGCCCAGTCTCAAGGACAGAGTCCCCACTCAGCTTGTGCACTCGAAGCTGCCTCTCTGAAGGGGTGTCGCCAGCCCCTTTGCCCTCAGGCGACATGAGTCCGAGATCCTCTGAGCCATTCCACGAAGTTGCAGTCGCTTCTTAAAGCCGTCGTCAAGAACTCATTCGAACTTGATGCTAGGATCCATGCATGCGAAAATGATAGCAGACTCTCTTGACAACAACTTCGGCAAGTTTGAATGCAGTGTTGCTGAGTTTAGAAGGATTTGCTACCATGTCAGCGGCTTGAGTACGGAGTACGGACCAGCTCGAGCAGCCACGGGGCACCCCGGAACTAGCGGCGCAGAAGCGCAGAAACCCCGCGATGGTAGGCGAGATCCCTCTCTCTTTCCTTCCCTCTCTCTCCCTCTCTCTCCCTCTCTCTCCCACTCTCTCTCTGTCTCTCTCTTTCTCTCGCTCT